TTTCTCTTCCATTAAAAAGAAACAAAAAAAAAAAAAACGATTCTGTTTTTTGTTTTTTAATTTTTTTTTTGTAATTTGGTGTGTGCGTAACGGATTCATTGCGCCTGCATTGGACTAACAGCGCCTGGTTCCCGCCAAACCTAAAACCCTAAGCAATGAGCATATAAGAGAGCACTCAAGGGTCATCAGCGGCTCCATAGGAAGGGTGTACCGTTGAAGACCATCGTCACCCGCCGGACTATACATCCTCATGGATCCCAAAGCCGTCAAGTCAAACCTGGTCTTGATTTTAGACTATGGTTCCCAATATACTCACCTCATCACTCGTCGAATCCGAAGCCTCTCTGTTTTCTCTCTCTGTATCTCTGGCACTTCACCTCTCAAATCCGTAATCGACCTCAAGCCTAGTGTCGTTATTTTATCCGGCGGCCCCCATTCCGTCCACACCCCTGACTCCCCAAGTTTTCCTGATGGTTTTATTGAATGGGCTGAGTCGAATGGCGTTTTTGTGCTCGGCATTTGCTATGGACTCCAGTTGCTAGTGCAGAGGCTGGGCGGGGAGGTGAAGGTTGGACTGAAACAAGAGTATGGGAGGATGGAAATTCATGTGGAGAAGCCTTGTGGGCTTTTCGGGTCGAAGAACGTTGGCTCCAAACAGTTCGTCTGGATGAGCCATGGTGATGAGGCTGCAAAGTTGCCTGATGGGTTTGAGGTGGTGGCAAGGAGCGAACAAGGGTCTGTAGCGGCCATACAGAACCCAACAAGGAAGTTTTATGGCCTCCAGTATCACCCCGAGGTTAGTGAGTGTATTGGCGATCCTTTATTTTTGTTATTAGATCGTTTTGTGAGATTTTGCTTTGGCTTCAAGTTACGTAATTTGTCGAAGATGTTTGTTTCACCAATGCTAAATAATATAAATTGCAGCATCTTCATGAATTAAATGTTCTATTTTCTTTTGTTAATTTTTCTAGCGTTTTCTCTGCTGTCATATGTTAAGATTGCTATTGTCTCATTTATAGGTGACACATACGCCCGAAGGAATGGAAACACTGCGGTCCTTTCTCTTTGATGTTTGTAAAATCACGGCAGGCTGGAAGATGGAAAATGTGTTGGATGAAGAAATAAAAGTCATAAAAGATACAGTGGGGCCTCAAGAACATGTCATTTGTGCATTATCAGGGGGCGTGGATTCCACAGTTGCCGCTACTCTTGTCCATAAGGCAATCGGAGACAGGCTTCATTGCGTCTTTGTTGACAATGGACTACTTAGGTGAGAAGATCATTTTATTCCTCAATAAACCAGGTTCTTATTTTGCAGAACATAAATGCTAAATATGTGTATCCATGCTGCTTTCCCACAACGTTTATTCTTCGTTTATACAGGTATAAGGAGAGAGAGCGTGTGATGGAAACTTTTGAAAAGGATCTTCATTTACCAGTTACATGCATTGATGCTTCAGATCAGTTTCTTAATGGTTTGAAAGGTGTAACAGATCCTGAGATGAAGCGAAAAATAATTGGAAAAGAGTTTATCTATATCTTTGATTCTTTTGCACAAGATTTAGAGCTTAAACTAGGAAGCAAACCATCTTACTTGGTGCAAGGAACTCTGTATCCGGATGTGATTGAGTCTTGTCCACCACCTGGAAGCGGAAGAAATCATTCCCATACTATTAAGAGCCATCATAATGTTGGAGGGCTTCCCAAGGACATGAAATTGAAGCTTATTGAACCCCTTAAACTTCTATTTAAGGATGAGGTTTCATTCTTTACCCATTCACTTGTTCTGATTGCCTAAATCCTGAGTGCATACTTTCTCATTTGCATGCATATGTGTAAACGAAGCATTGATTTTGGTGATTTCCTTTCTGTGTTTTAAAGGTTCGCCAATTAGGGAGAATCTTGGATGTTCCTGAGGGATTTTTAAAACGTCATCCATTTCCTGGACCTGGTCTCGCTGTACGAGTCCTAGGTGACGTGACTGAAGGCAATGCCTTAGACATCCTCCGTCAGGTACGTGACGTTTATGTATCTTCATGCATCCACAACTTCGATTCTCCTTTATGATTTGACTCTGAAGGTTTTTCTTCCCTCTAGGTTGATGAGATTTTCATTCAATCAATCAAGGATGCTGGGCTTTATGATTCAATCTGGCAAGCGTTTGCAGTGTTCTTGCCAGTGAGATCTGTTGGAGTTCAAGGTGATCAAAGAACACATTCCCATGTTGTTGCTCTCAGAGCTGTCACAAGTCAAGATGGAATGACAGCAGACTGGTAAGTGCATGGTTGTGCTTGTTAGATATCTTGTTTTCTTTATTACAGCTAGTGGCACACCATTCGTAGAATGTAATTAGTTACGTGGTGTTGAGATGATACAAAATATATTATTATAAATATATATTTTATAAATATTTTATTTAATAAGTTTGAATCACCAGCCATTTGCCAGCATTTGGGTTCTCTCCGCTGCAAATTTTAACAGAGCAAATTAATTTGTACTTTTAATGACCATCAAATCATCATCGAATTCAATCCAACGGTCCAAAGTTGCATAAGTTTCTTCACTTGGTAGAGAGAAGCCACTTCACTAAATGAAACAAATGAAGTTCTGTGAGCTCGTTACAGGGTTTTCCCCATTTATGGCAGGAAATCTTGTTTTGCTGCTGCATTATTATGTGCAAGGAATAGGGTATATAGTTATCAGTACTGTAGAAATCTGTAAAATCATCCAGACGTACTTCTTACCTAACATGCTGGAGAATTTAGGTGCTTGGTACAGTATTTAAGATACTGATGAATTTTAGGAATGGTTTGGAGCGGTGCTTCATGGCCATATTATTCTCTCATCCTATGCTTTTCATCGTACTAATTTATTACCTCCTCTTTTGTCGCATCATCCCCATGTTGAAAAATAGATTTCAGTTTCCAGGGTATTTATGCTGTGACGCATGTTCTGCTGCACTATCAGATTTTTGAAGTATATTCGTTTGTTATCTTTTTACTTCACTTGACAACATTTATATGGGAAAAAAAACTTTTCAGGTACTACTTTGAGCACAAGTTCCTAGATGATGTTGCAAGGAAGATTTGTAACAGTGTACGTGGTGTGAACCGAGTTGTGCAAGACATCACGTCAAAGCCCCCATCTACCATTGAATGGGAATGATACCCATTGCCCCATTGCTCCTTTTTCTCGGCTTAAAGTGGTGATTTCTATTATTGCATACTCCCGAAGGGAACTGGCTCTGTTCTATTTTTCCTGCCCTCCGTTCAGCGCCTGGAAGAAAAGTAATTCAAGCTGAGATGGAAAATTTTGAATTGACTGACTTCATTTTTGATATGTAATAGCATTAATAGAGAGGATAACAAACTAGTTCCTAATGGTAATTGATATCTTCTCACTTGAATGGATTATCTATATACGTTTGCTTCCCTTTGTAAGAAAACAAATTCTCTATTTCTTGATAGTGATTGGGGCATGTGGTAGTTGTGCCTCTCGGTGGGATTGCAGTAATTGTCATTCGTTTGGCCCACGGTGACACTTGTCAGTGAAATTTTAGTTCAGAAAATAAAATACTTTAGCATACGTAATCTTTTTGCCGACTCTAATGGGGGGCAAAAAAGTCAACGCGGGATTTCTGCTTTTTCTTTTTTTGTGACCGGCAGCGCAGGATTTCTGCTACACAACGTCAGTTATACTTGCACATTACGGAACTATAGGTTTGAACTTCAGACTATTCAGAGTAGTTTAAACTTCACTTTAGAGGATCCAGATTCGAGCTGAATAAGCATTCAATAGTTAATAATGCCCGTCTTTTACCTTTTTTTTTTGGACTCGTTCCAAGTTTCCGATATGATCTGCCATTCTATCATATAATTACTGTAAGAAATTGTATGCAATATGATGGACCATATAATCCAATCTTCCTGGCACCTATCTTTAATCGGTTTGATGTTATCACTAACTTAGAGCTAATAATTAAAGCAATTTTTCACTCAATAAAAAAAAATTAAAGCAATTTTTGTTAGTGTGCTCAAACTAACCTTCAGACAAATTGTTCCTTTCTTATTCCTTCCAAGTTCCTCGGTGCCTAATTATGTGCATTGTTGTGTGTTTCAACCTGTAATTAAAAAGCAAAAAGGGAATCCTCTCTCAAACTAAGCACTGCACATTTTTTGTTCAGAAAAATATGCAAGCCCTTTCAATCTACGCAGAAGACCAAGTCGTGTCACACCATGGCTGACTCAGTTTTTGATTACTACGTCATACATGTGTTTTAAATGATTCGTCCTTGATAATATATTCCCCTGGTGGCTCTGACTAGAGGTTGGCAAGCTTAACGTTGGTTGAATAAAATGCAACTCCCATTTCTAAATTTCTAGTGGGCTGTCAGTACTAGGCTACCAGCTGTCATCATTGCATGTTTCACCCCGTAAATAGAAATATTGAACAGAAGGAATCTATGACCAAAAAAAAAAAACCTTCTTCTTGAAGTTGAAGGAATAAAGAAATCAAATTTAATTAGAGGGATTAGTTTCAATAAATATGCTTATAGTCTATGAGACTAGTGCCTCTTTTCTCCTTGAGCTTTTGTAGATTCCTTGTACACTCCGATATTGAAATGCATATCAGATTCCCAAGAGAGCAAAATTGGATCCTTCCTGGAAAGTATTTGATTAGAGAGAGAATGAGGTAGGTTATATCCAAAATCCACTTTAATGAATTTTATACATCGCCGGTCATTATTGTATGTTCCCAAAAAGGTGTGGCTTTTCCCAGGGATAGGTGGAAAAATCCTTCCAAAACAAAGTGGTACTAGTAAGTGAGAACTAAAGAGTTATAGATTTATTAACCAGGAAAAACAATATTTCTGTTCACTCTAGCACAATCTCCAGGGAAATCATCTTGAAGGCGGCATGGTAAATTTCTCACATGCATGAGATAAGCATTCGCCTTCAGTTTTTCCCATTTCTTGAAGAGTTAAAGACTTTCGTTGGCCAAAAAAAAAAAGGGACTTAAAGACGTAATTAATATGCATAATTAGCAATGTGCAATTTCTTACAAACATAAAGTCATTGATCAAAGCTGAGCTAGGCTACAGCAGCTAATATTACATAGAATCTAGTGAACTAAGCTCCACTTCTCATTTCTGATTGCTGGGGGAGAACTCCATATTTCAACATCAAAATATGCCAAGAAAACTAAGCTCCCCTCTTAGAAGATTTTCTGCAAAATCTCGATCAACTTGCGACTTCAACAGTCTAAAATTTACACGGTGTATCAAACCAATATAAAGACTCAACACTTCCAAGCTACCTTGAGGAGTGCTTGTTTGATCTTTTTTGCTGAGGTAAAAGCTGCTCCTGTAATCTGGCTCATGAATGGGTACTCAAATTAAGATAAATAATATTAACACTCTTTAGGAAAGACCATGAGGGCATGTGTGGGTGTGTGTGTGTGTTCACGCTCATGAGTCAGGAGGGTAAATATGAAACATATAAAATCAGAAGTTTACCTTGGATTTTATGGTTAAATGGAGAATCCCATCAGCTTCTGATGAATGAACTGAATGAAAATCTAAATGAAGATTGCTGACTGCTTCCATTATTTCTAGTAGAACTCCTTCTCTCCGAGGACACTTCAATTCAACCAAAACATCATTGTCGTTCATGCAGATAGTAACATTATTAGAAATATCTTTTAGACGAACTGAATCAATCTCTGTCTCATCAATGTCACAAGCCTTCCTTTTGTTCATCGCTGGCTTCTTGCCATTATCAGATCTGTTGTTGCAATAATTGTCACAGGTCCTTTCCACCACATCTTGAGGCGTTCTTTTAGTCCTAGTCTCTGAATCTTTGGACTCTCTGCGAGCTTCCAACTCTCTCACCTTTTTCTCCAGCTTTTTAAGGTATTCTATTGCCTCATCTAGTATTGAAACTTTGTCATCCTGCATGATAGTTATGCTTAAAAATACAATTAATCTGAACAGTGACAATCAAGTGAACAAGTATGAAGACTAGAATGTATCTTACCCTAGTAATCAAAGGAACCATTGATTTAAGGGTTAAAAACCTTTCATTTAGTTTTGCTCTTCTCTTTCTTTCAGACAGTACATGGTTCAAGCCAATTTCATCAGCTTCAGGTCTCATTCCCTCTTTATAATCATTTTCTTCTTGAGATTCAAGCAACCATTCTGTGTGCATACGAGGAACTTCAAACAATATCTTCTTCAATATTTTCTGGTGGGTTGCGCCTCCTGGCCATTGACAACCCATTGATCCTTCTTTCTTCCAACTGATAAACCTAGATTCACGATGAGAGTTTTGAAAGTGTGCTCCCATAATTAATTGGTCTGAGCTTTTAAAAAGAGAAGAAAGAATTTTCTGATAATGCCACTCATCACTATGAACATCTACCACGGTCGTTTTTGTGTTTTTGCCTTCTTGAAGATCTTGCTCACTATGACCACCCTTGGGAACAGAAGCATTCTTTTCAGAACCAGCAAACGTTTGAGAAATACAGTCGCTAGTATTCATGGAAGTATGGGCACCATTACTCAACTCATCCTCCATTACTTGCCAGCTTTGGACATGGGAAGCAACACCATTTATTCTTTCAACCATGAATCTCTCATCTGCTTGTTGATTGGCTTGAAACTCATTTGAACTATTATTCGGAGAAGTTGCATTGGCTACTTCATACTCAGACTCAGGAGTTAATTTTACATCAAAAGCATTATGATCCAATACGGCACCAGCAATTTCTTCACCATCTCCCGTATTGTATGCAACTACAGAGTCCTTGCGAGCCTTAGCATCTAAAATATCCAAGTAGGAAGTTCTCATGCGTTGAATGAGACTGAGGTCCTCTGAGACCTTCACAAAAAGAAAGAGGTAACATGGTCTGTGACATTGGCAACTAGAAAATCACATGACCAGAGTGATACATAGGTTAAGACTAGGGGGAAAACTTACCAGATCAGTTGTGCCTAGCTCAAGAACGCCATCCAGAAAAGGAAAGCATACCACTGTCTGAGAGTTGATAAGGAATTAGGATCAATAACAATAAATAGATAAAATCGATGACCAGCGACACAACTCACAAGTTATGAACAATGAGGTTTATTCCTTTGATCCATATAATGCCCAGGGAATCATATGTAGACCAAAATTAGAGTGGTTTTATTAGGTTTCCCATACTAAATTTGAAACAACTTATGTTCAAAGGCTTTCATGGTCTTGGATAAGGTATGCCAGTTCCTTCTTTGCAGAAACTACGCTTCTACTTATCATATCCAGTGAACTGTTACAAACTGGAAAGTTATTTTTATTTCCCTTCTGCTCCGTGTCATTTGAATGCTTATGCAGGGGCTATGCCAAACACTATTACTACGATTACTTTCAAAAGCAGGTATTCTCACCAAACGTATTTCAACAGCGCCAAGATAACTGTTACTAAAAGCAAGACCCGTCAGGTGCTTTTATATGGGAATATCTAGGTGAAAGGAAATCAGAATGATACCTGAATGGATGCACTCTGATCATGAGATAGATAGTCGCCACAAGCGCAGAAATGAAACGGAAACCAAAGAAGAGAAGACATGTTTCAGAGTGAATGTACATAAACCTTTTAAGACTTAAGAGGACATAAAAACAATCGATATGGTGGTTGAAAGCAGAAGAACAAGACAATAAGAACCTTTGCCAGAAGAGAGCGACCAAAAATTCTACTATCAGCCAAATGGGCATTGTACAACCAAATGGGTTGGCCTTTTGCCAGAGTTCTTCCGGGCAACCTGGAAACAACCATGGCAAAAACATAAGCTTACATGTGTTCAGAACGATGCTTCTCCTCTTTCTAAGCGAAACGGAATAAACGATTTCAGTTGAATGAAATTAAAAAGAGAAACTGTACCCTTGACCAATGTTGAATACAAATGACATGCACACCAAATAATACCACTCTGTATCAGTGAGGTCCTCAGGTGATAATGCAGCTGAAGGCCTTTTCGCTTGTGGACTGGATTCTGCAGTTGCGAGGGACTCATATAGATCTCTGAGCTGCTCACTTCTCCGTAAACCTATTTGGTCAGAATTCAGTTCTACTGCTTGGCTTGTTTTCCTCGTCTTTATGTCTCCATTGTAGTACCCTTCACCCCACTCGAACGCCCTGCATCATTCGAAGCAAAAGAAAGCATGTTTCTCTGCATAAAAATATCTCAACAACGACCAAATAAGCAGCAATATCAGAAAATTGAAAAGCTTAATAGCTAAGCATTCAGAGAGGAGATTGCCGCATTATCATGAGCAATACGGATAAGAGGCGAAATTACGGGAATATAGAACTGCCAATATAGGGATAGCTCAAGATCTCAACTATAAAATCTTTCCAAGTAGTCAAAGATGGACAAGTTCATGATGTGGAAAGCGCAAAACTACAAAAAAGCTAATGTGAACAAAATTTATGTACCCGGGGTTGTTAGGTGAACCAGACCAGTAGACTGCGTAGCTCCACTGGATGCTTCTCACAGCCAAGGCGAGCTGTTTCTTCAGGTTCGCTGGTACCATTTCCTAGTTTTTCCAATCCAACAGCCACAACTTATCATGAAGATCGAAATTTCACATTAAACCCAACATGTGCTCTGGCCGACTCAACCGGATGAGGAAAATTAAAACCAGCAAAAAAGAAGAAGAAGAAGAAGAAGAAGCTTGTCTGGTTCTTTATCTTTGATCCTTTCACCATACCCAGATTCCCGTTTCTGTGATGCTAGAGTATTTTTACCCCCAGGTTGCAAAGAAAGCACGCGTCTAGCTGGGTTTATAGACTCCTAGAATCGCATACTCCAGAGCTACTATCCGGATTATGTGGTTATCGAGATTTGTTGGTTAATGATCAATTGAAAACCATCTCAGCCGCTGGACAAAACTGATTAGAAGACTTTTATGTCCTAATAATTTTCCTTTTAAAACAAAAACGTGACCTTGATTACTTCAAAGTGATTAAAAGGTAGAAACTCGAGCTATAAGTCTATAACAATCCATTGCATATAAATTATGAACCAGAAAAGTCCAAAGTTCAAACCTTTAGCTGTATCCCGTCGTGAAGACGTGAAGATTACCATTACCAACGTACGCCGGTATCGTTTTCTGCGCTTAAATTCGAAAAGATAGGAAACAAAGTGAAAAATACAAAATAAACTATCTCAATTTTACTGATACCTGGGACCTACAACGGGACACAAATTAAATTCTACTAATATTTTCTTTTTTCAAACCCACACTCAAAAAGAAGACGACTTGATCATACTAGACTGTAAAACAATCATTCGTAGCCCTATAATTCGCACACATGATGTCGGAAAAAGCTTTTTCTTTTTCTTTAATTAACCCGAAAAAGCATTTGTCTTTGTTGTTACGTTTTTCATTTTTTTCCGCGATCATGGTAAAAAGGTTGAAATTACTTACAGCAAAGTTTCAGAGGCAAGGCTTTCCGCCTTTGGGCAAGAGAAGAGGAGGAGATATAGAGAGAGAGAGAGAGAGCGAAGAATAGTGCGAACAGGGAACGCTCTGTGGAGTCCGTGGACCTTGGTGGAGTTTGGTGAGACTTAATAAGAAAAAAACAAGAGATATTATTACTGTCCGATTGGAAAAATATAATAATGAGGAAACAAAAACCAATAATAATGAGCCCTGATGTCTTGTCGGTTCTGTTCCGCCCTGCTTCTTCAGCATTATTAATTTCTGATGCATCCTTAATAAATTTAATGACCATGACAATCACAGTTTATGCAGATCTTGTTGTGGACCCCTTGTCGATTCATCCGTCCTCGCCAGAAGTAAAAACTCAAGAGAAATTCAATGGAAATCATTCGATTATATATGTGTGTGTGAAAAGAATAAGAAGGAGGTGCATGAGAGAATCGAGCTGCATGCAGTTAAAAACGTTCACCAAACTTCACTGTGAACTTTATTGTACATTCCCGGGTTCTGTAACACGTGGTGAAATTGTTTTACTACTTGCTAAAACTTGGGGAATTTATGTCAGGATGTTTTTTTCGTGAACATGTCCGCAACAGTTCGTGTTACAAATCCACTTTCCGCATAGGATCGATTAAACTATGTTTTATTGCTTTGTCTCACCAAGTCTGTGTTTCATGAAGAGTTCGAGATAAATATACAAATGTGACTTATGAACACTGTATATTAAATGCTTGGAGTTCCATCAAGATGGAGAGTCTATAGAAATATAGTAGGCAATACTGCAGATTTAATAATATTTTTCATTTACGTGAAATGAAATAAAATTTCTCTCACGTGAATAAAATTATTTTAAAAAAAATAATCCAAATTTCCTTGCTTCTTACGAATTTATTCAACATATGTGTGTGTCTTTTTTTTTTTTTGTAGGCTCCTTTGCTAGCTATCTGCTGTGCTATACCAAGAATTTGATTCTGGGTGGAATGAAACTAACTGAATTAACTAATCTGCAATAATACTCTTTGTTTATATTAAATGCTTGAAAATCACACTCACGCTATTCTCTAAAAATGTTTTATGATAATATATAATCCAATATTATTGTAAAACTTTCCTGTTCACCAGTCAAGCCGGGTTTTTATATATATACTGGACCCGTTTGGAATAGCTTATAAATAACTTATAAGCTACTTTTCAATAGTGATTTACAAAATATGAAACAAGCATGTGAGAGGGGTTTTATCTCAACTTACGTGAAACGTACTTATAGGGAATTTCCACCACTCTGCCAAACGGAGCCACTATCATGTTATATATGAACAAAAGTAGCATATACTTATATAGAGTATTATATTACACGAGTATCTTTTTTTTTACTTGAATGTCTTTTTTTTTTTCCTGAAAGAGTTAACTCCATGTTAGAAGTGAATTATATGAATCAGTTAATCTTAATAAGTTCTTATAACTCCATATCATTCTTTTGTTCATAATGATTTTAGTGGCACTTTGAAAAATGATGTCAATATACTACATAGATCTTTCTATACTTAACTGATTTTTTTTTTCTATTGTCCTGAAACTCTAAAAACAACTCTAGTAGTATAACTCATTTTAATTTTTTATTATTTTCATTTTATCAAAAAAAATTCTCATATGCACATTAAAAAAAAAGTCCAAAAGAGGAAGGGAATATGATATTTATTAGCATGATCAGCTTCATACCTCACTTGGTAGATAGGCAGCTACCCGTCAAAGTCAAACGATGCACGCACGCCGACGCATTGGGGGCATCGGGCCTGCCTTTGCAATTTCCCCTTCCCCTTTTTTATTTTCATTTTTTAATCGTAAAATACTTAAAAGTTTATTTGTAATATTTATAATTAAATAATAATATTTTTAAAATAAAATATAAACATATATAAGTGTCATTGGAAAAATTAAAATAATAAATATAAACATTTCGTGATAAATATTATATTATCTTTTTTGATATTAATATCTCAATTAAACTCTGGCCCTCTTGATATGTTTATTCTTACATCATCCGTCTCAAAGTTATTTGGATAAACAGTGAAAAGTAACATTTTCAAGGCAGGAATCATTCATGAGTTCGCAAAATGACCAAAAAAAAAATTTAACAGGTGTTTAAATAGATAATTTTGATAAATTTTGACACATTAAAACTATTATAAGAATTATAAGAAAATAGTAAGCATGACATTTTTTTTTTCAAATTTTTTAGTCTTAAAAAATAATTTAATCACAAACTTATCTCATCTTATTCAAATATGGCCATGATTGTTTCTTTTTCATGATATTAAATTAAATGAAAATAGACAAAACATACATTGTACCAAAACAAGAAAACAAAACAGACATGTTGGTGTAGTGTCTTTGTGATTCTCTGCCTACTTCCACGCCACATTCGTAGACGCTGTTGGCGTAGATAGATAGATAGCTCCATGCGCTCCACCCTTCAGAATTATTGTAACATTTAGTTATCTTTTTCTTCTTCTTCTTCTTTTTAATTTCACTGCTCAACTCAATTTTAAATTTTCTAGCTGCTCAGACATATTTTATGAAATAATACTATTATAATAAAAAATATGACATGTTTTCAAGTGGTGACCTATAATATGCATTTCCGAGAAAAAGAATAAAAAATTTGTAGATCCTCAAGTAAATCGCTGCTATCTTTCTTTTCTTTAAAATAACTTTATATCAAAGCAGAGACTCTTAGGTATCAATTTTTTATGATCTTCAAATCTTAATTGTTTGGATTAATTTAAAATAAGTGTTTTATAAGATGAAAATTTTTTCCATATATTTGTCCCGTATCTCGTACCGCAAAACACAAAATGGCCCATTAATGCTGACTTCAAATGAGCACATAAACAACGTGACCTATTTTTCAGATTCTTTTCAAAGCACCATGCCTACATTAATTAAAAGATAAATAAAATTAGAAACAATAAATCGACATAATTACTAAAAAATTTTTAAAGACAATAAAACAGATTATAATAACAAGTTTTATGATGGGAAATGACAACTTATTACCTGTTACTGTGACTTTTAATACTACATCTGGTTATTAATGTAAAAACTAGATAATTAATTTACAAATATTAGAAAAACTAGTTAAAATATTTTTGTTAATTATGTGCATTAAAATAAAAACCTTTTTAACATATTTAATCACCATGGAGACTACTTTGAGAAAAAATAAATAAATATAAAGAGAAAAATAGATTAAAATATTATATTTAGGACTAAATTAAATCTTCAACTAACTCTAATAATTATTTTTTTCTTTAGAGTTTCACAGTAATTTATGGGTAAAAATCCTTTGTTACTGTGTGTTTAAGGGTCCAGCTTCTTGGGCTTCATTGGGCTCCGAAGCCCAGAAGCCTAATACATATCACTGGACAGTCCTCAACTTGCCATGGAATTGGCTGGAGGGCTGGCACGGACTTCGAACTCGGGGGGGAAAAAAAAGACGTCAAGATTCAAGTAGAGGCCCAACCAACAGAGATTGGGTCTAGCAGAAAGGGGTTAGTCTCTCACAATATGGTGAATCAAAATTCAAATTTTCACTGGATGAGGCGTCCACATTTAGTGCCCGACAGTGTCTCGAATAAGATTACCTCCAATTGGAGGATACCTATGCTTTAACAAAAAAAAAAAAGCCCACATTCAAATCCAACCTTATTTTTTAAAGAAAAAACCGCTATAAGGTTCCAAGAGAAAATATAATCATAAAAAAGTAGGTGAGAGATATTGATTTTGTTATTTTCTATATTAAAACTTATCACTAACGTGTTACGAAACTTTTTTATAACTACATTTTTATTCTTTGAGACTATATAAGAATTTCTGTTTTTTTTTTAACAACCAAATCACGCCATTGTTGTCTGGCAAAGATTGTCTTCATAAAAGAGACATTAGTAATTGGATCGTTGTTCCTCGAGTTCACATATGGGTATTATCATGATAAATTTAACTTGCACCCGTCAATTTATAGCAGAGTTTTCATATCACTAGGGCACAATGTGAGTAGTTGGCTCAATCTCTCGTCATAATACACCTCATGTTTTATTTATTAGTATTTTTAGTCTTTATGGAAGGGTTAATAATGTTAATGGAGTAAAATTAAAAATTTAATTAGCACTGGATTAAAAATGGAAAAGAAGTATAAGTAACTCCAAAAATGACTTTCTAAGAAGTTAAAGAAAGGTCAAGGAAAAAAAAAAAAACAGTTTGTGACAAGATCATGCTTAGGGAACCGCATTTATCCATCCCAAAACCCAGGACTGACTGAACTTTGCAAACACTGAGGAGGCGTCAGGTTAAAATACAAGAAATACACCAATTTTTTTTTCCCTGGCTGCTTTATGAATAAAACGCAGAAAGTGAATATGGGAATAAGATAAGGCTGCATAACCTGAAAAGTGCTGTTGTGAGGGGCCATCTCATGAGCACGCAGATAAGAGTATTTTAGATTCATTCATGCTGTTTAGAATTTTTGGCTGTTATTTGTAAAATATGAGAAAAATATATGAAAGCATATAAAAAAATGAGGATAAAAATTAGAAAAAATTTGAAAAAAAAAATGACTATTGAATTTCAAAATTCCAAATCAAGAATTACTACAAAATGTATTGTTATTTACTTTTTAAATGTAGTCATTTTTTTTATAAGTGTAATAAAATATACTGATTTAAAATTTTAAAATTCAACAATCACGTTTTAGGGATTTTCTCTAAGAATTATGAAGTGCCGTTAATGATCAACAAAAATACAGTAGCCTTTTTATGATTAACCAAATCCCCCACTTAAAAAATAATCAACATTTCAAGACTATTAAGATTAAGAATGGAGACCAAATTATTAGTCATTTTCTTTATGAGTGTAATAACCAATACTAATTTGAAATTTTAAAATTCAACAATCACGTTTTAGGGATTTTCTCTAAAAATTATGAAGTGCCGTTAATGATCAACAAAAATACAGTAGCCTTTTTATGATTAACCAAATCTCTCACTTAAAAAATAATCAACATTTCAAACTATTAAGATTAAGAATGGAGCCCAAATTATCTTCTATCACTTTGGTGAGGACTCTAAATCCCACACTAAACACACACATCACGTCAGACCATTTATATAGAGTCTATATCAATTATCTAATACTCCTCCGTCCTTAATATAGGACTCAATTGTTGAGTTGGTTTTGATCCTAAATATAAGACCCATTCTTATATTTATCAATTTTCTCTAAATTACCCCTATAGATATTCCCTCAACCATAATTAAGTAGAAGAAGGAGAAAGGTATTAAGAAAGATGATCATGGTGTTTTAGGAAAAACATGTCACATTTCTTATAATAACTAACTTACTACTTCCTTATCTAATCAAATTAGTCAAATGAGTTTTATATAAGGACCGGAGGAGTAACACTTTTATCTTCTTTTAACAAAATGACTTACGTAAAATATTTATAAAATTTAAAATAAGCATATAAGCTTTAGCTCTACTTTGTTTTATTTCCTAGGCTATTTTTAACAATCAAAATGCGGGGATTCTTAACAATCAGAGTCTAACAGCAGCATGAAAAGTGCGGATGAGATGAGTTGGAGATCTATTATTAAAGGCTGGGCCGTGGGGCGTGAAAGTAGGGGCATGTGTGTGTTGGTCAAAGATGAAGAACGTGTCTGGATCATAATTCTTTTCTCTTTTCCCTTTTTTTTTTTCGGTGTGCAGGTGGGCATCATTCCCTCCATAGCCCCAAAAGCAAGAACATGGTAGTTACCTTCTTCCTCCATTTTTTTGCACCACCTAATAGCAGGCATAGACATCATTTGTTTCTTAATGCAGGTAAAGGTTTTGACTTAATTATAAGTCAATTTTAAAAATTTATTTAAGCACAACTCAGTACATATAATTTTGACTCGATTATAACTTAGTATTAAACTTTAATTTATTGCAACTCAATTTTTATCATTTTAGTTTGACCATTTAAAAATTTAGCTCCTGTATTTTATAAAATAAAATTACATATTCTAAGAAATTTACGGACCATCTTTTTAAATCATTAAAACTGTAAAGATTGAATTGCAATGAGCCCAAAATCTGGAGTTTGAGTTATAATGAGGAGGCACTCAAAGGTTGAGATCCAGCATCTCTCTTCCCACCTTGTGCTGCACGCGACACATGGTAACAACCGCACCCCCGTCAGTTGTTATCATTCCAAACTCCCGTTTACTGAATGATTATAACGTGGATCTTGTACTTTATATTGAGTTAAACATAAGTTATGTTGTTAACAACATATGAATAAATAATACTACCCCCGGTCCTAATTATAAGAGCTAGTTGACTAGTTTGAGGGGATTAAGAAGTAAATTGAGTTAGTTATTTGTCTTAAATAAGTGTTGTATTTCCTAAAATATCCTTGCTAATCAAGTGTATTGACTAAAACTACCATTGTTAGAAGGACTATTTGAAAAAAATGTATAAATATGAGAGACAAAGTGAATTGGGTTATATTTAGAATCAAAATAAAAGTCAAACAATGTCTTATATTAAGAATAAGAGGTAGTATACCTTGTCATAATATATAAATATATAATTTTTCGTAATTTAGCCTTTTTCTTAAGATAACAAACACAAACAAGCTTCGTCATTGTCAATATGTCCTTTTCAATCGTAACCATCAAAAGAGAAAAACCAATATTACGGTAGCGTAGTTTGCACTGCACGGCATTGTAGAATTTCCCCTCCTTTCTGGTCTTCTAATTATACTGCGGAAGGCTTGACAAAACAATGTGCATAAAATGGCATTAAAAAAAATCATGACTACGGGAATTGATCCAAGTAGTAAGCGGTTTGGTACCATTTAAGTGAGGTTTTGAGTTCGAGTTTCAGTGTATGCAAAAATTCTCATTAAGAGACTCACTCACCACAGTCAGGTACGTGACACGGGTCAGATCCAGATATAATTGGAACAAAGTTATGATGAACTGGGTAGGAAAAAAAAAAAACAAGGCCTGCAAAAATGCCGCATTATATTTGGCTTTAAATGGTTCAGATTAAAATAATCATTGGAGTTAGTGCTTGAAATGACTCTTGCCGTCGCTAATGTCTTGCACGTACCTGACATCACGCCTAGATCCCAAATGCAAAGGGAACTTAAGAATTGCTGTGTGAGCTTATTAACGTAAGGGCTGAATAATTAGTTTAAGGATATTAAAAAATTAGTTAAATTAATTAATTATATATATTTAAATCATTTGTATTAAAACTATTTTTTTTAGTGAAAACTCCTTACTATTAATATGAATATTATGAAAAAAAATTATAAATTTGAGAGCAAAGCATATTAGAATATTATACTTAGAATCAAACGTAACTCTCTAACTAATTATTATATGAAAAATACTTACATCAAACTTTTTTATATTCGTTATTTCAGGTTTTTCAGTCACGCATAGTCATATGTGCTATTTTCTACATCTGGGTTTATAATTTAATAATAATATTTAAAAATTAAATATATGAATATGCATAATTGAAAAACCTAATATAATAAATTAAAAAAATTTAACCTAAATATTGTCCTGCTTATATTAAGCAGTGGAGATAGCATATGATTGTAGTAATTTTGGGCAAGTAATTACCAACTTAAAAAATATAATGTCACCCAATTCGGTTTATTTTATACGTAAAAAAATTAGAAATCAAATCTAAAATCTGAATGGCTTTAATTTTAAATGTACTCTCTTGGGTCTTGTCAATTAAGCACACAATATCATATAGCCATCATATTAAGTTTTAGGCACCACGCTCCGAATCTGAATCTGAAATCGCCGGCTGTGAGTTAATCACTTTGATAACCCAAAAAAGCAGCACTTTTCCCTTTTTCTTGTGAAAAATATGTAGCACTTTCATGAAACCGAGAAATTTTCAGTTATGGGAAACAGGAAAAATTAGCGTTACTAGGTTGTAGATCTTTTGCCATAACTAGCAAATCGTTATACTACTTCCAGTCCTAATTATAAAAGTCAGTTAACTAATTTGAGGAGATTAAGAAGTAATTGAATTAATTATTTATCTTAAATAGATGTTGTCTTTCCTAAAATATTCTTACTAATCAAGTGTATTAACTAGAACTATAGTTATTAGGAGGACTATCTTGAAAAAAATTGAGTAAATATAAGAGACAAAATAGATTGGAGTCTTATATTTAGAATCAAAATAGAACTCAAACATGATCTTATATTAAGGACAGGAGGTAGTACCTTCTATATACCATTCAAGCCCACAACTTTATACTATCATTAGCCTATAAAATTCCAATGACCAGTAAGTTGCAGATGTGGAGGGGGGAATATATAATATCATTAGTCCATAACAAAAATTACTTATGTCAAGTTTTTTATATTTACTATATTAAATTTTTCAATAATACATGCCTTAATTTTTTTATAATAATATTTTAAAAATAGGATATTGCAATGGACTAATGGGAGAACGTAGACTTGAATATAAGAAAATTCAACTAAGTATTGTTCACATATAATCCTTAAAAATGAAAAAAACAAAAAAAACCTAGCGAGCACTTAACGCTGACGGGACGGGAACGTGGAAGCGAAGTCAGCGCGCCCGTCACTTCCAAAATCTGGGCCGTGATGTTAGAGATTTTTCTTTTTTGGGTTAAAACTGAATAAAGAACATTTTTAGGGCCATAAAATTAGATAAAGACTAATTAAGAGTGCTTTTTGGTGGGAAGTGCTTGAGGTTCTTTTTAGCTTCGCGACTGAAAAAAGGGCTGGGCGGGAATTCCATTCCAAATTGCCCGTGTCAAAATTCCGATTTTATCTTTTTTTCATGATGCAGCTGTGATTTGAAGTTATATTTGGCTTGCGAATGGCTGAGAGAAGCCAAAAAAAAAGAAAGAGAAGTACCGTCGTTGGTTCCTGAGAAAGTAGAGGTTAGGAGCTATATCACAATTACCTAAGTTTTAGGAGGTATAATGCCATCGACTATATCTTTTTAATCTCTTTATGCCCAATAAGCTGGGTTCACTCTGGAGTAACCTCTGCGCTCTGGAGAACTGTTCAGTGACTTGAGTTGTTAGTTTTCCTGTTTATATGATAGGCCTTTTATTTTTTATTTTTTTGGACCTGGTTCATCTAACTGTCCTTTTAACATTTGTTAAATTTATATTTCTGTGACATTCTTGGTCGAATTTATTGGACGAATTGTAGTTCAGTATCTTTGGTCAATATAATCTCCTAAATGTTTTAATTTAAATTATGCTTATTAAAATGTTTTCCGCCGGCAGTATAGGCCTAGTTAATCAAAAGGACGAGGAATCTCTGCGTGTACAAAACAAACAATGCAGTGGAACAAGAGGGACAGGGAAAATGGGAAAGTAACGACTTAGGTCGAGATGTTAACCAAATAGAAGCTTAGGAGGCATGCTTGAAGGTAACCAGATTACTGGCCTCTGCGTCTATATCAGTTTCAAATTTACTTGTGCTATTTCTTATACCGCACCTCTATTTTCTTTATATTGATGCAGGTGCTCTCGTGCATCGCAGTGGGAGGTCTAATGAACTGTTCCAGTTGAAGCAAGAATCGCATGTGGATCTTTTTCCTGCTAAAATTATGGAATTGCCTTCAAACAGCTTGGAAGTAAGCCAATGAATGGTTACATAATTTTTCTACCTGTCTCTCCTTCCCTCTCTTGTGATATGTGCTGACCGTAAAATCATTTTTATATCATATATGATGGGCACATTTGCTTCGTGTATTCAATATTGATTTGTTTGATCCCATTACACGCTTGAAATCTTTTCTGCAGAGTACCCCAACTCAACATCTCTTCAACACGGGAAATAGGATTCTGAATGACATATTTGTAAGAATGAATGGAGAAGTACCTCATGTAAGAGGATGGCATAACTTATGTTAATTAGTTCATAATACTACATCTTTTCTTATTTTACCAGAATTATATTATTTTGTGTTGTTGAGACGAAGTTCTATAGTCCTTACAACTGATTTATTTCTAATCTCAGCGCGCGGCATGCCTGTTAAGAAAAATTCTGCAAGTGATTGAGGGGCGCTTTTCAAATCAAGCAGAGAGCCTGAAAACTGTAAAATAATAACTTTTTCTGATTTTTTTTCTGGAGAAGATGCATCTCATTTGTTTCAAGGTATTTACATCTTGCTTACCTGCAGCAAAACAATCTTTTCAAAGCTCGTGAAGGGAAATACCAGTCGATAATAAACGTACTTGAAACCCTTGTGGCAGGGACAACTGAGGAGAATGAGGTACCTTCGATTTTAATGGATCTTGATGTATGCTAATAGAGAATAGGAGAGAGAATTTGTGTAAATTAGGAATTGTGGATAAAGATGTAGTTAGAAATTATTTAACTGGTTTAATTTGTTGTTTAATTATCTTCTTGCTCGGCTTATTAGACAGTAGGATATCTCAAATTCTTTACTCCCCCCCCCCTATTTCTTTGATATCTCCCTTATTCTCCTTCCTTCTCGTCTTCTTCTGTTCTATTACTCCTACCTCATATGTTACACTGCATATTTTATTATTAGGCTAAATTACTTTCCTGAAGAGACTTCCAAATTATGCAGCCTTTCCCTATATTATTTGAAACCAAAATATTTTAATGAAGAATTTTAGTTTCTTCTATATTAATTAAACTTCGATTTCAATGTCATTTATTTGTTTAAAACCATAAATTTGATTTCTTTTGAATTTAAAAGGTGATCCTTCTATGTTGATTCCATACATATTTAATACTAACCATGCTATTTAATCAATAAATACACTGCTATTTTCGTTAAATAATGTGTAATGGTAATTTAGTTTCTGTCCCATCATCATGGGAGAGTTGATAATTTGAGTATCTTTCAGGGGAAGGGAAAGTAATTCACTATTATTATTCTTTATAAAGGTTGGCTCTATCCTCTGCAGGTTGTCACGAGTTGGTTGCAGCAGTTGAAGGTGCAAAACAATCTATAGCTTTATTTTTATTTGGATGACTCAACTGGGAACAAAACTAACAGGATAAATTCTTGGTTTTGTTAAACTTCATCATTATGTTCATTACTTGAAGTTGAATATTTTATATTCTTATCTGCGCTCTATCTTGCTAATTCTCTTCATATTATGAGGGAAGTTTATAATATGGTGGAACAACCTTGTTATAAATATTAATAGAAGATTGGGCTTTAATTAAAAACAACTTAAATTCTCTGATATAGTGCTGGGCACAAGAATATGATTCAATAGTTGAAACTAATAAACATATTGCCTATATTGTGTCATCTAATGCTGCAAAAGGACTTGAGATATCCGGCCTTCATTGATCATGAACTATTTTTGTATTGTTAATTTTTCTGTCACTATATCATGCGGCAATGCAATTCCCAAAAAACTTAAGCAATTATTGTGAAAAAGTTGAAGAATGAATTTCTTGCATTTCAAACTTTATCTGAATCTGTTGAAGAAAAATGATATGCGTAGTCTTTTCAGCTTGCTACATAATCTGCTTCTTTAGATTGCTTGCTACATAATCTGCTTCTTTAGATTGCTCTGCAGCATGAGAAAACTGAACTGGAGAAGAAGAAACTTGAAGAGCAGGATTTTGCTCAATTTAAAAGAGACAAAGTTCGCAATGAAATTGAGATTTCTGCCCTGAAGCAAGAACTGGAAACGACTAAAAGGGCACATGAAGAGCAGTGCTTGCTGTTAGAATTGCATCTTAGTGAATCTAAAGCTCATTATGAGAAGAGAACAGAAGAACTTGAGAGTCATCTAGCTAATGCAAGGACACAAGTGAAGGAACTGAAGACCTTTTTGAAATCCAGATCTTTGAAATGGAAGGACAAGGAGCATACCTTCGAGAGTTTCCTAACGACCAATTTGGAGCTTTCCAAGTTCGCCTCATTTTCTATTTTGCTTGCACTTATGGTTTGTCAATTTCTTTCTCATTGTATAGCATTTAATATCTCATGTTGTGCAGGAATTGAGAGCTGCAATGGAATCTGTAAAAATGGAATTGCTAAAATCAAAGAGAAGCTACTCTGAGGAACTCAATACCGCAGGATACGTTATTTTAAGCTTTTCCTGACTTATCACTTCTCATTCATTTACTGATGGATCTGATAGGTTAACAAGACACGTGTAAACCTTCTTTAGGAATGAAGCTCAAAGGTCTAGCTGAAGCTGCTGGAATTATCATGAAGTTCTTGCAGAGTAGAAAATTGTATAACGAAGTTCAAGATATGAAAGGTGTACGGCTAGATTTACCTTCCAAATTTTTTGCTGAGGTCTAATGTACCTTGTGGGGCATTTCTAGATTGTTAACTGACTGCCCTTCCCCACCCCAAAACTTCTTTTTTTAGGAAGCATTAGAGTGTATTGTCGAATCAGGCCATTTCTTCCTGGGCAAAGCCAAAACCAGACAACTATTGAGTTTGTTGGTGATAATGGTGAATTAATTGTTAGCAATCCTCTCAAGCAAGGGAACGAAAGTTGTAAGCTTTTTAAGTTCAACAAGGTTTTTGGCACGTTAGCAACTCAAGGTAGGTAGTTCGTTCTAAATTCTTTCCATTACTTGGTTGTTTTATGAGTTTGGTTGTTGTGGACTGTTGGAAATGATACATCAATTTTCTATGGTTGTAGAGGAATACAGTGACATCCAACCGCTTTATTCGTTCTGTTCTTGATGGTTACAATGTTTGTATATTTGCTTATGGTCAAACCGGTTCAGGAAAGACATACACAATGGTATGGTTTTGTGCATATTGATTTTTATTGCAAGTTGTAATGGTTAAACGCGCACTCATTTTACTTATATTATTGATTATTGATTTTTCACAAGAGCGGACCTAGCTTAACATCAAAATCAAAATGGGGAGTCAACTATCGAGCACTTCATGATCTTTTCCAAATCTCCCAGAGTAGGAGAGGCTCTATCATTTATGAAGTCGGCGTTCAAATGGTTGAAATTTACAATGAAGTAGTTCGCGATTTGTTATCAAGCAAGGGTCCTCAAAAGAGATATCCTCTTTCTTTCTTTCTTTCTTTGTTTTTTTTTTAAGATTACTAATTTTTAAATAACGCTAAGTTACTCTCTTATTTGGACCTAGAGATATGCATGCAAATGCACGATGCACAAATTTGCATATACATTTACCTGCCTATTTTTAGATTTTACATTAAATCTCATTCATTTACCTGCTTCATTTTTGGCTATCCTGTTTGATGATGCCATATGTTTCAGGCGCATTTTTGTCATTTGTTTATTTTTTGGTTGAAGGAAAAAGTGCAAGTATGGTTTATCTTGACTTGCTTACAATAGGAATTTGGAATACTGCCCAACCAAATGGGTTGGTGGTCCCTGAAGCAAGCATGCATTCTGTTAATTCAATGAAAGATGTCTTGGAGTTGATGAATATTGGGCAGATGAATCGAGCAACTAGTGTCACAGCTTTAAACGAAAGAAGCAGTAGATCCCATAGGTTGTTCTCTCACTCCTCAAATTTTCTCCAGTGTCTTATCAGTGTAATATATAATGTGGAAATTTCATTTACTTGGTGTGATCATGTGATAGTGTTCTCACTGTCATGTCCGTGGCACACGGATTTGGGAAGCAACACTATATTGCGTAGCTGCTTGCATCTTGTAGATCTTGCAGGAAGTGAACGAGTCGACCGTTCTGAAGCAACAGGAGATAGGTTAAAGGAGGCACAACATATAAACAAATCCCTATCAGCCCTGGGAGATGTGATCTTTGCTTTGGCTCAAAAAAGTCAGCATGTGCCATACAGAAATAGTAAATTAACACAACTTCTTCAAAGTTCATTAGGTAACTTATTCTTTAATTTTAAAAATTTTCCATTGAAGGTCTTTTTTAAGCAAAAGCGTACTAAATTGTGCTTTCTTCCTCCTATTTTCTAGGTGGCCAAGCAAAAACCCTTATGTTTGTGCAGCTTAATCCTGATATTGCTTCATATTCTGAAACAATAAGCACCTTGAAGTTTGCTAAAAGGGTTTCTGGCGTCGAGTTAGGTGCTGCACGTAGCAACAAAGAGGGGAAGGATGTCAGACAACTCATGGACCAGGTTTCTTAAATTCTTTGTTTAAGAGAGCTTTTAATTGATGAAAAATGCCATTGATAAAGCGGTAAAACAAATATTATATTTTTATTACTTGGTCTCTCCTCTTGCCTTCAACTAAAAAAGGAAAAAAAGGTGACAGTTTCATCAAATATTTTCTTAGAGTTCTACTTTCGTTGCAGCGAAACTATCTGTGACTGAATGATTATGAAATGAAAATAACTGTATGAAGTCGATCCTTAATCATTTATCAATAGCCATTGAGTTAAACATTTCCTTGCAGTTAACATATTTGAAGGATGCTATGGTGAGAAAGGATGAAGAGATTGAGCGGTTGCAGATGGTCAAGGCAAATCTCGAAAACTCAAAGCAGGGTATGATCTCACCAAGGCATGAACCGTCAATTCATAGCAGGCAACCCATAAGGACTCCCCGACATAGCCAAAAACTTTCAGGAATTGGTGTGAAAAAACTACTTCTGACCTGGGCAACTGGTCAGAGCATGATGAAAAGCATTCAGAACCAGGCCTCTATTCAATGAATGAACTCAGCAAAATCCCTGGTTCCCTGGAGTTAAAATTAACAGAGAAGACAAAGATAAGAATCTCAATGAGGTGGATGAGCTGCTAGGAACCGGAGGTGCAAATTTTGAAGAGAGATTGAGTGACATATCAGATGGTGATCTCTCAATGGGACACAGAAACTGATCGCTCAATCAACAGTGTTGTGGAGTGCACTTTTTTCCGGAAGCGAAGACAGCTGAGCTTACACCAACTAGAGTATAACCGAGAACATTCCAGCTGAGAAGCAGAGAAGTCAGTACTTACTCTTACCATTTATTTATTTATCTTTTTGCGAAATTTACGGATAACGAAAATTTAGAATTTGTCACCTTCACTGTGGCTTTTTCAATTTAAATACTTTGTAGGCATTAGCCTTGTTACCAACCATCTCTACTTTAAATTGGCCTTATTTGTGTCCCAATGACTGCAGATTTACTGTGCCATCCTCGTTAAAAATTTCCAGAACCTCACAGTCCCGCACAAAGTGCAGATCAAATCATCGAGGTTGTCACTGAGTAGAAGCTCGTCAAAGCTTATCTCAAGTATGTTCATCCAATTATCTCTCGTTCAAGCTTTCCTTCCTTTTTTTTTTTCGGTTTGTAAATCTGTCGAGTTTTCCAGAACATAACTCTGAATACCTTGTATAAACTGATATTTGAGCCACCTCCTTCCTCTCCATTGTTTCTTATTTCTTGTCTGCATGTAGGTGTAAGGAAAACCGCAACTGGTAGCTCTTCATTGAAGCCGCCCAAACGATAGGAATAGCCAGGATGTTGCTTGAACGGTGTATTGGCCTTATTTGTGTCCCAATGACTGCAGATTTACTGTGCCATCCTCGTTAAAAATTTCCAGAACCTCACAAGTCCCGCACAAAGTGCAGATCAAATCATCGAGGTTGTCACTGAGTAGAAGCTCGTCAAAGCTTATCTCAAGTATGTTCATCCAATTATCTCTCGTTCAAGCTTTCCTTCCTTTTTTTTTTTTGGTTTGTAAATCTGTTGAGTTTTCCAGAACATAACTCTGAATACCTTGTATAAACTGATATTTGAGCCAACCTCCTTCCTCTCCATTGTTTCTTATTTCTTGTCCTGCATGTAGGTGTAAGGAAAACCGCAACTGGTAGCTCTTCATTGAAGCCGCCCAAACGATAGCAATAGCCAGGATGTTGCTTGAACGATGTAGAGTGACCATAGTGGTAGGAACTAATCCTTGTTTATGACACTGATCCAGTTGTAGCTTATCGCCCATTCAATGCGATATTGGATGAGGCTTTAGCTTGTATCTAAGCATTGTATTGGCTTGCAAACCTAGCTAGAAACTAGCATGTATCTAAGCATCATAGTAAGTTATCTTGCAATCTTCATTCCATCTGTTAAATTTTCTAGTTATTTTACTAGCCATTTCGCAGGCTCTATATGCCCATTCACTGAGTAGATTTTATTGTACTACAGCATTCAGTTGAGGGAAATATGAATTGTGAAGCCCCCAGGAAAAAAAGACAACGTTGGGAATAATTTAATACAATACATTTCATGGCAGAAACTTTCAACGCCCTTTGACCCGTTACTACATCACCAAATCAGCCTACGCCTTTAGAAAGAGGACTGAGATCTGGATCACAGTAATGCATAAAGGTAAAAAATTTGCTGTGACATGTTGCAAGTCCGGGTTCAAGTCTTAGAATTAAAGGAACCAAACTGTGGATGGATGACTGGGGAAATTGTAAAACCGCAGAAGTGAAGATATGAGCATGGGCTAACATGTATACGCCAGCTTTTGAAAAAAGAGATCGCATGCCTTATTTTACCCCGCTCTTTCCATTACAGAAGTTCGCTTCTTTTTGCCCGAGTAAGAATGTACACATGCATGCATTTTCTAATTTTCTCGTTGCAAAAGGAAATTTAAAAAAAAAAATCAAAATTTTCTCCGGACAAGACACATAACATCAAGGGGAAAGTGAAAAAATTCGCGTCCTGTCGCTAATAAATATAAATAATGTTTCATGCCCTTCCTCAGCCAAAGATGCAGCGTCTGGGTGGTGTAGTTGGTTATCACGCTAGTCTCACACACTAGAGGTCCCCGGTTCGAACCCGGGCTCAGACAATGGTACTTCTGCAGCATATTTTGTTTTCGCACTTTGCCGATTACCGCAGGGAAAATGAACGACAGAGCGCTGTTTAATTTTTTCTTTTCCGGGTTGCAAGTTGGAGTAACTCCGCCCTTTTCACTTAAATCCTCTCTATCCCAAACTGAATAGTTCACTGGGGGAAAATGAGTTTCAGAACCAAAGAGGTGCTCCTTATGACTGCTCAACTATCGTTCACAACGAGGTTTCACTTTTCTAAATTATTTCTTGTTCGCCTGTATGCTCGCAATAAGCTCCCGTTGCCATCTCCCTTTTTATCAGTTTCTGTGTAGTTCAAGGGTAACTGGAATGCCTTTAAATAAGTGCTTCGACGTTGGAGCTTGTTGCTCTAGTTGCACTTTCCCTCGAAAGTATAACATAATGAAAATGAGACATCGTCAATTTCTTTTGCAGATAGTTGCCATTTTACTCACCAAGTCCTTTTTCTTAATTAGCAGCAATTCGGACGATTCTTTATGTCTTATAGAAGACTCGTGCTTTCCTGTTGCTGAATGGTAGACTGGGATTTAATAAAAAATCTTAGCTTGAAAGTCGTAATCAGGAAGACGTGCTAGATGTAGACTTTGAAAAATTGAAATTTAGGTGTTACTGTTCTATTTCTGTTTCTCCCACTGACTTTGGCAGATGAAAGCTGTCATATTTGGTAATGTTGGCCGCCTCCGTATTTTTGGATAAAGTGGGTTTCAATGGTTTTTCCATCTTAGAGTGGCTGTATTAAGTCAGTAGATCAAGAAGTTGCTTGGGACCACTTGTGATTTACTTTGGTCTTGTTTTTAATGCAGGGAACCTCATTCACATAACTGATCTGTTCCCATTGTATAGGAAATTTGATATGGTTTCCATTTCCTTAATTCCTTTATGACATTGATCGGAAGAATTAGACAGGTAGATACCGCTGTATACTGAATTTGTGCATTTTTCTGTTTTAAATATATAAATCATGCTTGATTATGTAATGAGTAATATAGACAATGATCAGGTGGCTGTTGTTTCAGACTGACTCTTGGTTGATTGATCTAATGGGGGAACAAAAATGCCCTTCAGTCCAAATACCAATCTAATTAACCATGAGTTATAGGATACCTCTTTTCTACATATAGTACGATACAAACTATGATAGCATGTATCACTCTTGAGTCTTGATGTAATTTACTGTACTCTTGTTTTATGCTCCTTCAAATCTAATTGACATAGAAAATTTAATATTTCCGTAGCAGTGCAGGTTTCCATCCTTTGAAGCTGATCTTCCTTGTGTAAATCATAAACCCTCTCTTTCCAGTGATAAGGCTAAGCAGGGCCACAAAAATCCTGACCTTAAGTCCCCAGAGATACTAGGCATGGCTCAGTTCATCTCTGCTATAGGACATATATGGGATTCTGCAAGTCAATCACTTTCATGTGTCGGCTCGAAGGAAATTGTAATCAAGATGATATATGTTTCTGGGAAGGAAAAGTTCTGATTAACTATGGCGAGGACAAAATTGAAAGGGCATATAGTTCAAATGATACTAATTACAGTGCTGTTACTATGAGGGACGCTAGCCTTGTTTCATCCTCTATGCCAGCACACATGAATTTCCCTAAGGTGATGCAGAAAATAGTTGCGCTAGAATCTTATAATGGAAGTCAAGATTATGTTCATTCTTTATTTAAGAAAATTTTGCCGAGCTCTACAAACAATTCAAATGAGCCTCGGAAAGCAAAGGATATTGTGAGTGAGGAAATATCATTTAAATTGGGAAGTATATATTGGTGTATGAGTAAGAATGCTTCTAAAGTGCTAAAGTATCCTGTCGATGTTGCTGAGCCTGAGGACATAAAAACTGCTGCTCCAGTGGCTGAGGGCTGCACTTCAATAGATGCAAGCAACCCTGCATTTGCTAATGGGAATGGTCAGTGCAGCCCTGATATGACCATATCTGATGATCTATCATCATCTAGTGATGGAATGCTGAATGGGAGAAAATTTACATCTCTGTCTGCAGACTACTTTCTTGAAGCTGTTCATGAGAATACAGCAGCTGTTGGTGTTACTCAGACTCTGTTCCTAGTATGTATTCAGATTATCATACCGATTCATTAGCTATAAGTGATAGTGCATCTATGGGGTGCGAACTTGGGATTGATGATAAGGAATTGTTAAATACCAAAGAAACATACCGCGCAGGTACCGTAACTGACAACGAATCCAAAATTGAGGTCTCAGCAATTTGCTAATGGGAATGGTCAGTGCAGCCCTGATATGACCATATCTGATGATCTATCATCATCTAGTGATGGAATGCTGAATGGGAGAAAATTTACATCTCTGTCTGCAGACTACTTTCTTGAAGCTGTTCATGAGAATACAGCAGCTGTTGTGTTACTCAGACTCTGTTTCCTAGTATGTATTCAGATTATCATACCGATTCATTAGCTATAAGTGATAGTGCATCTATGGGGTGCGAACTTGGGATTGATGATAAGGAATTGTTAAATACCAAAGAAACATACCGCGCAGGTACCGTAACTGACAACGAATCCAAAATTGAGGTCTCAGCAAAAGAGAAACCTTATCAATCCTTGCCAAGCACGAACATGCTTTTTCTGGGGCTTTGGCTGGCGTATGTGTCAGCCTTTGTCTACATCCTGTTGACACTGTTAAGACAGTCATTCAGTCATGCTGTGCTGAAAAGAAGTCCATTTTTTTACATTGGCAAATCAATTGTTTCAGATAGAGGTGGGTTATTTGAAGGGAAATGCTTGCTTGAATTCTACGTAGCTTATTTTTCCTTGCATCATTTAGAAAACTTGCTCTTTTAAATTAAGTTCTTCATTAGATTGCTTGTTCTTAGAGTGACATGGACTGATGTCAGGTTTGCCTGGACTTTATCGTGGAATTACTACAAGCATTGCATGCTCAGCTCCAATTTCTGCAGTGTATACTTTCACCTATGAATCAGTTAAAGCAGCTTTGCTTCCTTATCTCCCAAAGGTATCTTCTCTGTTTGTGTCTCAAGTCAAATGAGTAGTGTCACTTATGTGTTGTTTCTTCTTTCTAGTTTGTGTAATTTGTTGATCTATTCTCCAATTTCGTTATATCTGGATAGGGTGCAATCTAGGGGGGAAAAGCCTGAAAGTTAAACATGGATGCCAACATATTAGTGATAGATGGCTACACTGAACATTAAATAATAATGAGATTTCAACATTAAATAATAATGAGATTTCAACGATATTTATGTGCAGGAATATTATTCTTTTGCCCACTGTGTGGCGGGTGGTTGTGCAAGCATTGCCACCTCTTCTATTTTCACTCCAAGCGAACGAATAAAGCAGCAGATGCAGGTTGGGTCTCATTATCGCAACTGCTGGTATGCTGAATTCCTAGCATCTTCTGTATTAGTTGTACGGTTGAATGAGTGCTTGCAAGTATGTGATGTTCATGATGCGATTCTTGGTAGTTCTATTCAACCAATGGAATTAAACGTTTGCTATCATCGCTGAACATCTCGTAAATTTTAGTATTCCTTTCTGTTTGTAATTTGGATGCCTGAAATCTTGACATAATATTGAGTGATTCTGATCAGTGATCTGTGATAGAAAACCTTCACTTTTGCAGTTGAATATTTTTCTCATGGCCCATGCAGGAGCCTGATGATTGTCCTAATTTTACACTACTATACATCACATGAATTCATGGTTGCAGGCTTGCAATGGTTGAAATTATCAGTAAGGGTGGTTTTTATTCATTATACGCTGGCTGGGGAGCTGTACTTTGCCGGAATGTCCCACATTCAATCGTCAAGGTTGGTGAATGCTTCTTCCAGCAGCTGACATGATATAACCATAGCTTTCCTGTACATCCAAAGGTGGAAGAATATGTTATGAATTTAGGCTATGTTTGGCATGCAAAAGTGATAGGTATAAGAAGGGAAAAGAAATGAAAATGTGAATGGGAAATAACCCTAATGCCCTTGCTAAATAGCACATGCCCCAGATATCCTTGTGCTCGGAGATTTATTAGTTTTCTATTTTTGACTGCTGTCAATTTTCAGGTCATAACATGGGCACACATTCAGCTCCTTATGATAGTTATTCGTTTAACCTCAAATATGAAATTGTTCTTCTATGAGTGCTGATCTCTGTTCTTCAGAAACTAATTTTTTATGGACATCGTGTGTGACTGTTTGCAGTTTTACGTATATGAAAGGTTGAAGCAAGTTATATCATCTTTGCCATGTACTGTAAGGCCTAACACATTTCAGACTGTAAGTTTGTCTAGATTCCTTGTTCTCTCTAGTTTTATTTTTTAATTTATAATTTTTCCTATACGTTATTGCCCCCAACCAACTCCTTTTGGCAGTGTTTGGTTTTTCGTAGAATACAAAGGATAAGCTTGTCTTCATTATTTCATTCCTTGCCCCTTGTATGACGGATCTGGAGCCCCCTACTCCCCCCCCCCCCCAAAAAAAAAGTACTTAAAAGTGGCAAACAAACGTGATTCTAGCTTTGTCCTGAACCTGTAAAGAATTATTTTCTAACTTCATTGAACGGTTCATTTCCAAGCTGAGATGATAGATTAAATGAAGCACATGTATATTAACAACCTTAATTAACCATGATCATTGATGGAATGTTAGCTTGTTGATTATGCAAATGTTGACTATACAACTTTTACAGTTACTCTGTGGAGGATTAGCTGGATCTACTGCTGCTTTTGTCACCACCCCTTTTGATGTTATCAAGACAAGATTACAGACACAGGTTGTAATTTAAAAAAGAAAAAAGAGAAACCTTCCATTGTATGAATTCCTATGTCCGCTTAATGAGTATGCTGTAAGCGCATTTATTCTAATGAGGCTCTTGATTTATAGATCTGGTGCAGCCATCAACCTAGGGTGAAAGTAAAACACTGTAATCTGTTCAGGAAGCTATGATGGAACATAAGAAGCTAATTATGAATATCTGTTATTGAGGTTGCAGAATTACATATGCATTAAATGCCTAGTCTTCTAGTTCTTCAAGTTTCTTCTTGGATTATTAGTTCTATATGTTAATTGATGAGGTGAAAATGAAGCTAGCCAGGGTCTGCTTTATGTTAATCTTCCTGCATAGATGTTTTACTGCCATGTTACTCTAAAAACTAACGTCTTTATCCTTTTATGCATCTGACGCGAGTATGCTGCAGATTCCTGGATCTGTAAATCAGTATCATAGTGTGTTTCACGCCCTTTGCAAAATAGGAAATAATGAAGGTGTGAGGGGACTATACAGGTATTTTCTGCTGAGTCTATTCATTGTAATTAATATTGGTAGAAAACATCTGATATAAAGAACAGTAGTGGATGTCATATGTTGTCATAGGAGCTCTATTCGAGTTCGAATTAGAAGATGACTTTCTTAATAAGCTTCAGGATGCCTATTATCAAGGGATTGACTCATTTTGTGTTTTCTTGGTTGCCTGAAGGGGATTGACTCCAAGGTTAATTATATACAGTCTCAAGGATCTCTGTTCTTTCTTCATATGAATTTTTCAAGAGTCTATTTTGTTTAGAAGCGTAGCTTCCCTCTACTTTGGAAAACAAGAATCGAGATGACAGAAAATACCGAGTTAACAGTTCCTCAAGCGTCATGCATCAGCAGGAATTGAAAATTGACACTCTTGACACGTAAGGGCTTGTGTGGGAAGTATGCCAGCCCGCTCTCAAGATCAGCAAGATGGTTCATAAACCAAAGTGGCTCGTGATCTGCTGGCTGCTCTATTCAAAAGGATGATGACTTATTTAGATCTTAGCTACAGAGGGAATAATCTAACATCAAAGCGTACATGGATAATTAATCACCAGTGTGCATTGGTTCTTCATTGCAGCATTCTCCGTATGCCTGTCCCTGGATATCATACTACTGGGACCAAGGACGCCTCGGCTGATGTTATTTTATAGTGAAGAAACACTCAGAAGCCATTCTCTGATCAGCATTATTGATGAAATGAGAGATTTACTGATGTGTGACTGGTTTGTTACGTATAAGGATGTAATTAGAGAGGCTAACATGTGTACTAAAAAGCTAGCTCGTTAGGTTCATGAGATAGTTGCTGATTTTACATTGGTTTCTGAATAATATTGAGTGCGGGAATGTTTTGTTTGCTGACATGGTTGACAAGCCCCATGCTCATGTCTTGTAGTCCTTGATTTCTGTCTAGCTCAAATGCCTAGGCGCCTTTCTATTAAAAAAAATGAAAAAGGAAACACTTCTTCACGGTATACTTCAAATCATGATATAAAACATTTGATTTTAAAGAAATCTCCTTTGTATGCGAAGAGCCACGATTGCCCTATCTATGTTCATTCATTTCAATGAGATCCGGGGGGAAAAGAGAGAGCAAAAAGTTTATATTATATAATTATAGTAGCATATTTTTTTGTACAGATATGGTTGGCCCGTGAGACTGAACGCAGGGTAACTTCATTGTTATCATGGAAGCCTCACTTGGTTTGCAGTGGGTTAGTAGCTGATGATTTTGCTAATGTGGATTAGCTTAATTCTACTTTTCTTTCCTTTCCACGATGGACTATATTTGACGGAATAGCTTTTTCACTCAGAAAGGAAAAAGTACAAGAAAGTATCAGGACTCCACTTCGTGGATATGAAAACCTGTACTTTCAGGCAAGCACATTATATGGCATAGAGTATGATCCAAATGTGAATTTTGTAGTTGATTTGAACGCATTTTTTTATTTTAAATAGATTCATAAGTTATACTAAACTCTTAAATAAATCAAAACCATTTTGAGCATCAAATTCTGTTTTCTTACTTTTTTTTACATGGCTTTTTTTTTGGTTCCCCACCTTTAGGGGTTGGGACAAGTTAATCTGATAATTATACTCCCTCTATCTTTAATTATAAGATATAAGTTTTTGAATAGGTTTGTCTCTTTTTATAAGATTTTTGTTTGAATTTGTCTAAATATTAATGCATTATTACCTATTTTACTCCTCTTTTAATGCATTTAATACATTCTCTTTCTTTATTATTTCACTGTTATTCTCTCCACATCTACCCATTTATATATAGGGATATATTTAGAAAAATTATATTTTACTACATATTAATTATTTTTAACTATTTTACTATTTTTTTTAAACTGCATAATTTAATTACAAAAATATTATAATAAGAGACGAAGTAGTAGTATATCTGCGGGGCTAATTGAGCAAGGAAAACAAGACCTCGTTCATAAGGGCAAACAAAAACTGACACCACCGTCAGAATCCCACCAATCATTCTACACTATGGCTGCGTCGTTGACCATATTTTGAGACCAACCGATGCAGCCTAGAGAATAATGCTTTATCCAGGTGTATGGTCCTGGGGATTCTTTGCGAAATGGGAACAAATTTTAGGATGAGAGTTTATTGTTGGAAGACAATGTCCATAAGGTCGTTGTAGTATAGTGGTAAGTATCCCCCTGTCCACGCGGGTGACCCGGTTCGATCCCCGGCAACGGCGATATCCAATTTTTTGCCTCCACAGTTTAACGAGTGGATCCCTTTTCAGGCCCTTTTTTTTTTTTTTTTTTTTTGGGGGGGGGAGGAGAGGAGTGCCCTACGCTTTGTTGGGTTAGAAGCAGAGCCCATTTAATTATCTTCTATGGATATCCCTTCTAGGTTTTCACGTTGCCAGAAGCAGAACCCATTTTCTTAATCTTCTCTACCCTCTAAAGCCTAGATCTTTAGCGTTTTCTTTTTCGTTTCGTTTTTTTTCCCTTTCAAACTATGGAGCTACGTCGAAGTATTAAAAATTTTTAAAAATATATTAGACAAAAAAATACAAGTACATACATGTATTTATCGAACATGCATCCGATACAAATTCGTCCCTTTTCTTTTCCCCCCATTTGCCCCAAGAATCCGAGCATCATAGCTCAAGAGTCCCCTTTATGCTTCATACTCGGGCGACAGGTGAAAAGGGTGGGTTTAGCACGTAGGATCGAAGATTTGATTTCGGAGACTTTGACGCTGTCTTGTCCTCTCTAGTAACTGAATCTATCAAAAATTCCCCTCCGTCCTCATCTTTAAGTACTTTCATTGAACTACATTGCGACAACTCTTGTTTCTTCTGCCTCCCCGCTCCATGGAAGTTACCGGTGCCATGTAAAATAGCAACACAAATGGCAAATGCTTGTACTGTGGATAATTGTGCATGAAAATCAACAGCATACTGCCCTTCTTCAACTACTCTCATGCTAAAAGTAGGACAACTCTCTTTGCTCCCTACGTAAATGCACCAAAAACTCGGGTAAGCACCAGAAAAGGCAAAGGCAATGGCAATCTCAATATTCAATAAAGCATGTTAAAACTGCAACATTGACGAAAATCAAGTGAGCTCCAATGAAAAGATACAAAGCTATTGAAAAGATTTGGGTAGATTACTAGATGCATACGACATTAGTTTTTCGCTCATTTTTCACCTAAAACAATAGAACTAGAGAATTGCTCCAAATGGGTGCTTGTTATAAGATGGATCTTTATTAACCCCAATCGAATTTAATTGCCCAGGTGATCTTTGCCCTGGATTAACTTTCCACAGTAAATTATTCACAAACAAGTTCCTTATAACAAGAGAATATAATTAGCTATGAAACCCCATTCAAGAAACAAGTGATATGGAAACCCAGCATTACCTGAACAAAGAGTTCGAGTGTTTGATAATTCTCCATGAGAGAGCGGTCTTCAGAAAATTGAACACCAGGGTTGCCTAAAAGGACAAGCGGACAGGCCATGTCCCACCCACCGCAGTCACAACCTCCACCATGTCTCCACCGATCAAGCAAACGTGAGGGACCCTGGTTTTCATCAATCGGTAGACCATGGTTGCCCTTTGGAATGACCACCTTCACCTGTTCCGGGCCTCTGCTTTCATGAAGGCCTTTTCTTCTCTGTTCTATCTCAGAATGATCACTTCGGTTGCGATGCTCTCTAGCACCTCTACTCTTTCTCGTGTGTCTGAAACTCTCTCTCTTGTGAAATGGAATTTGCAAAACGATGGCTGCAATTTCAAGATTTTGACGCAATTCTGAGCACAACAAAGGATAAGACTTTGAATCATTGAAATCGACACTGCCAAATAAAAGCTTGTCTTGAAGTTTGTTCTTAATTGCAGGAGTTTTCTCATCAAGCTCGAATGTTTCTCTTCCCACATGGGAAGGTTTCAAGGTTTTAGAATCTTGGTCACAGGGAGAATCCTTTTGAAGTGAAGCGCTTGGTCTTGAGTTTGCAAGATCATACAACACAAATTCTGTCACCATAGAGTTGTCAAAGGCTCCATCTTTAAATTCTGAACATAAGTTAGAGGCAACTAACATCTGTGCTACCATTGAGGAAACCCTGTCACAATCATGGGATCCCAAGCCAATGGCACTGCTTTTCTTTCTACCATCAATGGAATGAAAGGTATATGCCCAATTGGAAGTATTATCTACTCTCCTCATCTTGGCCACTAAAAAGTCTTCAGGGCAATTCACCTTGAACTCAAAAATGGAACTCCATGTTTGTTTTCAAACTTGAGACTACCGTGCAGTGTGGACTGGTGAACTAGCAATTCCTGAATGCTGGATATCTCTACTGATAAACTCAGAAATAATATCGGAATACTTTTCTGTGTTAGAGAAGTCATTTAGGAGAGATTTCTGGTAAGTCCTGCTTCTTGTTATATTTACCATACCAGTTGATTTGACCTCACTGTTTTCCAACTTACGGCTCCTTGGACTTGTCAAAGATTTGGACTTCGTGAATGAATTGAACGTTTTCTTGACAGGGGTGGACTGGACGTTTGAATTGGCTTTTGACAAGCAGTCATTTTTTGAGGGAGATAACAAGTGAAAGGCTTCCACTTTGGAAGAGAACGATTTGACCAATGCATGAACTGCATCTTTCTCCAGAGAACCAATAACACTATCATTTCTGGCATTTGAATTTATAGAATCTCTTTCTGCAGTTGAAGTAGAAAATCTATCCCTAACATCTGAAGTTATGCAGAATTCAATAAAGCCATTTGGAGAATGGGACTCCAAGCGAGCTGAGGATCTGGAAACAGACCGTGAATTCATTTTTGATTCCTTATACATCATTGAAGATTTCTTTCTAGGATCTTCATCATCAGAGCTACATAAAGAATCAACAATGCTCCCAGAAAAAGAGGTGTCACTGCTACGTGAAATTTCTATCTTTTTCCTTCCCTCCCCGGTGCTCATTGCTCTTATATACTTTAGCTCCTCTGAACTCTGATACATGGAACCCCGCCTCATCTCTACATTAACCTCCCGTCCACTAGGTCTAGAGAGGCTGCTTTTACATGATGAACTGCGTAATTTAGCAAACCTGTTTTTGGACAAGTCTTCTGTGAGGGTCCACAATTCATTTTTTCCAATGTGTTTAACTTTTTATGTCTCCTCTTGACATTCGAAGGATATTGATGAGATAGCAGAACAGTATCGGGACTCAGACCCTCTGAAGACTTCACATTGAGATCCAACTTCATCTCTTGTCCCATCAACAAATGCAGAGTCCTTCTACATCATTAAAAACAAAAGCCAAAACAAAATTAGTTCATGGTAAGAGACCCAATCACTTGGATATGTGCAGGATCATGTTATTAATTAACAAAATTTAGATCTGCTCGTTACAAGTACTCTCATCTTACATATATAACCCGAACTTCTTAATCAGTATGAATTTCCAGCTAGTTTATGAAAATGACAGGCATTAACACCACATGCAAGTACGAAATGCTTCCCCCCACGAATTTTCTCACCATTATCGTAATGCAATGTATTTCAGGGTCATTCGCTAAGCTGACTTCCTCATACTTAGAATAGATGAAAATCACCCACAAATCAGAAAATGAAACAACACAGAAAAAGAGTAGGAAAAAAGAAGAACAATCAGATTCATGCATTGCTATGTGGACAACTGGATTTCTAATTACGATTGAGACGCAGCTCAGCACCTACATTGCGTTTATCCACAATCTGCTAAATTACCGAATTTCGAAACGGCTATAGTATTAACCTCGGAAATGACCATCATTTGAGCGGAAGCGTCCCACCAATTATCTCAAAATTAGAGATTGCAGAAATTGCTTTAGAAGACCAATCTCGATCTCGAGCACGAAGAAGAATATCATCTGTCGCTTAAATTTTTTTTAAAATGATCAGAAAGAAAGAAAGAAAGAACACCGTATGCGTATGTTTTCAAAGATGTCCAAATTTGAGCAAAGCGACAGCGATTGAGCTGCATAAATGTTATAATCATTTAAAAAGACAAAAATAAAGTACAGTTCGATTCCAAATCATATACAGGAAGCAAATGAAAATACAGGGAGGAAAGAAAAAGAGCATACTCGAATAGATCTCGGAGAAGCAAGCTCGGCGGAAAAAAAAAAATCTCAACAAGCGGCATCAACGAACAATCAGCTATCTAACTTGAGGGGAAAGTCTCCATGAGAATAATTAATGAAACTAACCCATTTGCTAGAAGGTTCAATCCTGGCCCATACGGAACTCAGAACTCCCAGATTGACCACGAGAAAGTAGAGATTAAAAGCAAGTTCAACCACCGCAAGAGAAGTAACAGTAAAGCACAAGCACAGTATAAGTGGAGAAAAAGTAGTCTTAGAAGCCGATACACTAAATACTCAGATAGGCTGAAGAGTAAAGAGTGAACTATCTCTCTCGCACAGACACGGAAATTAGTTATAATCATTAAAAAGACAAAAATAAAGCACAGTTCGATTCCAAATCATATACAGGAAGAAAATGAAAAATACAGGGAGGAAAGAAAAAAAAAGAGCATACTTGAATAGATCTCGGAGAAGCAAGCTCGGCGAAGGAAAAAAAAAAAAAAATCTCAACAAGCGGCATCAACGAACAATCATGCTATCTAAACTTGAGGGGAAAGTCTCCATGAGAATAATTAATGAAACTAACCCATTTGCTAGAAGGTTCAATCCTGGCCCATACGGAACTCAGAACTCCCAGATTGACCACGAGAAAGTAGAGATTAAAAGCAAGTTCAACCACCGCAAGAGAAGTAGCAGTAAAGCACAAGCACAGTATAAGTGGAGAAAAAGTAGTCTTAGAAGCCGATACACTAAATACTCAGATAGGCTGAAGAGTAAAGAGTGAACTATCTCTCTTGCACAGACACACGGAAATTAGTTTTTAAATTGAAGTAACATCCCTGTAAAATTCTTCATGACCATGATGGCGACAAGGTTGTGCTCATACAGAAAAATTCTTAAAATTCATAATGATATCCTTACACATTTTTAATAACATGATAAGATATATTATCTTCACTTTTCAATATACTAGTTAGATAATTAATTTAAAAATTACAACTTATTATTTTAATGATTTGTAACAAATTTATGTTGGTTTCCCTTTAAATACTCTTTTAAATAATATGTATTGAAATAAAAACCCTCTTCATCATCATGCAACTAATAAGGATTATTTTAAAAAAATTATAACATTGAGAGTGACAACAGATTAAGATTTTGTATTTAAAATCAAAATAAATTTGTTGTCTGGTCTTATATTTAAAAATAAAGAGAGTATTAAAGAAAAATAAAGGTAAAAGCCAAATACCTTGCACCACAATACTTAATACGGGATTGGATTCTGTTTCATTCCAAAACAATTCTGCGTGGAGAGAGGAAAACTTGTGTTGAAAATGAGTCTTGTGCTTGCATGGAATCATCATTGTTTAGAAGACACGTCTTTGTATTATTATATTTCTTCGTTTTTTTAATTGTAATAAATTTTACTACGTTATTTTAATAAATATCTAAAAACTTTTTCTTGATAAGCATAGAAAATATGAATTTCATTACGTGCATAATGCGAACAATGATGTTCCTATAATCTATGCTGTATGGAAGTGTTTGTACAAGTAATGATTGTGTCCCTAAAAAGCATAAAGATATGCCCAAAAGTCACAACAATGTTTTCATGTTTTGGTAATTTTGTCTAATCTAATTTTCAGTCCATGAATCTTTGTATTTCACTGTTTCCTGTTTGGCCACACTTGACAATGTTGGGGGAGAGTGAGCGGGGTAAATGATATTTGACCCGTGGTTGTAAATTTATTTTAACCTTCTACTATTTCTTTGTTTGCGTGGTCTTGTGATTGAGTTAGGAGGGAAAGTCTAGCGGTTCTAACTTCTATGGAACCAGGAAAGAGGGTTAGTTTTCTAATACAAAATCATTATCTTAAAGCTTCGGGAACGGCACTGGCACATGCAGTTACCAAGACCGGAATCCATGATATCGTCCAATTCAGATCCCTCCCCCCCCCCCCCCCAAAGCAAACAACTTTCTTCAACTTTAAACTAAAAGGGCCTCACTGTAGAATTTCTTCACTATTTGAAATCTCCTTTTCAAGGAGGCATACTCAAACATTTCTTAAACCACGAACATCTTACATTAAAGATGGTCTTGTCTTTTATAGATTAAAACAACAAGGTAGAAGAATTGAACATATCAATATAATATGGTGAACACTGTAGATTATATTAGTTCGTATTAGCGTTACGAGCATCTGACTGACCGAGAGGGGAACAAGAGAGAGAGAAAGAGGAGCATGGGAAGCACGAAATTGGCTGACAGAGGAGACAAGAAGAATAACGTCGAAATATTTCTAATTTTTTATATAAATAAATTGGTTGCATGTGGTTAGATTGGCGGGACAAAAGCACAGATACTAAAGACCGTCGGTGACCTCCACCTCACTGAGTTGAGCCTGTGATCTGTTCAATCTCTTGGGCCACGATTTATTAATTATGGCACTCCACATTATATTAGTGGGGACGTTTACGTTAATTTCTCAGAGCATCACACTTCTATGCAACTTTTACTTCATTTTCATCGCAACAAAAATAATCTATAAATATAAAATTATTTAGCAAATTAATACAAGACACATTACATTATTTTCAACAATGAAACAAGGTTAACGGGGACGATGGCATTTTAGACGATGTCGATGTGTAGGCTCAATTCTAGAAACATTGTTAAGAGTTATTCAGAGCCTATAATCCATCTCGTATCTACCGAATTAAATTAGAATAAAAAATTCTATAAGAACTAGTAAAATTTAACAACCTTGTTGGCAACAAAATTTAACAACCAAATCTAGAGGGATGTGTTAACCTTGGTCTAACTCCGTAACGTTTGAGACATATCAAATAGCTTCCCTATATCATGAACTAAATCATATCTGCCCATGTGACTGTACGAGGCAACTCCTATGTGAGGTTAGAACTATAGACAAGACCAACAACGACTAACTCGTACACATTCAAACCGGAACTGAACTGTACACAAAGTATTCTATTTCAACAACTAAACAGCCTACAACAGCTTCCTAATCAGCATGCTTCGCAGGTTCTCTACTCTCATCTTTCCTGGATTTCCCAAACGACTTCTGG